CCATCAAAATTCTGATTCAACAGTTGAACAAACTTTTAATTTTTCCAGCAGACAGATACAGCTTATTTCCTAACTGTATGTAGAACTGAAGATTATGTTTTAGGATAGCTGCTGTATGTGTCCTATTTACATAAATTGAGCTAGGAAACTTTTTCAAAGTGACAGGAAGTAAGTATTGTAATTTTAGAACAAAGAGTTTTGAAGTTTTTAGCTACATCAATACCTTCTTTGTGAACTGAAGACTGAATTTATAAAAAATTAACCAAGAAAAAGGAATAGAAAGCATATCCATTAAAGAACATCACTGAGTGTTGTAGCAAGGGTATATAAACTACAACATTGATGTTAAGTTATCTAGAACTTCTAATGAAGAAAGAAAGCAGGCATTATTGGAAAGGGCTGTCAGAGTGTTCTCTCCTCAACCACTTATGTGTGGGATGCTTTATCTGGACTCACTGTTGATGCTCACAGGTGGTGCTAATTACCGCATAATCTCAGCTGCTGTCTAACTCTGAGAAAGCTGGCAGGACTAGTTATCTTGTCTCCATCTCGAGGCTTGGATCTTTTCACCTCCAGATACCATTTCAATGTATTCTCATCTGCATTGACTCTCTGGAGAACCTGATCCCTTTTTGATAACCTATTAATTTCTATCTAATTTCACTGTCTATTATACTAGTGTAAGTTACTTTTCTTATTGCTAGGACAAAATACCCAACACCCACAAGTCAGAGGAGAGAAGGTTTTTGTCGCCTTATAGCTTGTAGCAGTTGCAGTTTATAATCCACTGGCTCCACAGCAGAAGAGAAGCAGCTCATGGTTCGCAAGCAGAAGGTAGGGAGACCTCCATCCTCTTTCCTTGCTCATTCCATCCAGGCTACAACTCTTTTGGTTGGTACCCTCCACGCCCAGAGTGGGTCTTCCCACTTCAGTAAATCCATCTTTGCACCTGGGACTGTGCTAAAGCAATCTCCAATGAGTGTGTGATCCAGGATCACACACCCATATCCAGTCACCTCACAGAAGCCCCTAACAGCACTTGAAGCTTTAGGGGACATCTAGATCTAAGACATGAAACACTTTCATGGGAAACTGGACAGCCCTGAAGAATTTGACTATGTCCAAGGGGACTAATAATACCTCTCTATAGTTTGATATAAAGAACACTGTGCAGTCAATACAAATAATCATCAGAAGGAATAGATCTAATTGGGTCCGGAAATAGAGTTGTCCAGCTCCTTTTATTTATTTATTTATTTTTTTCTCTTAAAACCTTAAAAGTTTTGTTAAAAAGTTTGCCTTATGGTCAGGTTTTGTATCTCACAGAATTTTATAATTACTTTCAGAAAATTAACATGTAAAAGTAAACCAGGTGTGGGAGTGCATGCCTGTAATTCCAGCACTCCAAGAGGCTGAGGCAGGAGAATTGCAAATTCAAGCTCACCCTGGGAAATTTAATTTTTTAAATTTATTTTTAAAAAGAAAAACAGAAGAAAGGGTAGAAATAATACTTTATAGCAATAAGAAATCCACACTAGTTAATATTTTACATATTTTTATCTTAGAAGTAATTGTTCAAGTTAAAAAAATCTAAGCATAAAAATGAACAATCAACCTATGACAGCACAAACTATTCTTCTTGATGAACTAACAGAGAATTAGTAGTATGTTATTCTAACTTACACACTTAAACATACATACAGTTATAAGTGTATATCCACAAGTTGTTCTTTCCTTTTGAGCACTTTCCTTCCTTTTCATTATTATAACATCTATTGTACATTTTGGATCTTATTACTTTCAGTTTATTATTATTAGTAGTAGTAGTATTTATTTTTTACATTAGAGAAACAATACGATATTTCAAAATGTGAATCTGATTTTTTTCACTTAGTGTAGTCTCAAGTTGCTTCCATTTACCTATAAAAGCCTTAAGATCATCTTCTTTTATAGCTGAGTAATATTCCATTGTATAAAAATACTACATCTGTTTCATCTATTCTGTGGTTGACTGGCATTTTGGGTGCTTCGAAAATTAGCTATTATATATTGTGCAGCTATAAACATGGGTGAATGTATATTGCTGTGACATGACATTTTAAGTTTTTTTCTGGGAAAATACTCATGAGGGGAATAGCTGGATTGAATGAGACTTTCAAGCCTCATTTTTTAATGACTCTCCATATTTATTACCACAGTGGTTGCATCAGTCTACACTCCTACCAGTAATGAAGAAGAGTTCCTTTTTCCCCACAGCCCCACCAACATTTGTTATCAGTTGATTTCTTGATGACAGCCATTGAGATGGAATATCAATGTTGTTTTAATTTGCATTTCTTGAAAGATCAGTGATGGTGAACATTTCTTCATGTATTTGTTTTCCTTTGTATATCTTCCTCTAAGAAATGTGTATTCATGTCAGATGCCCATTTTTGGAGTGTGTCTTTGAATTTGGGAGCCTTGATGATTTTCAATTCTTTCTATGTTCTGGATATAAGCCCTTTGTCCTAGAGACTTCTGGCTAAAATTATTTCCCACTCTTTGGGTTTTCTTTTAATTTTGTTGGTAATTTCTTTTAAAGTGCAAAAAACTTTTAATAAGATGAGATCCCTGTGGATTCTTTGAAGTAATTCTTATGTGGTTTGCATTGTGTTGAAGAACTCTTTGCCTACCCCTGCGACTTAAAGATGTCTACTCACCTAGTCTTTCAGTAGATTTAGTGATTCTGTTTTAATATTTTTAGAACTTTGATCCATTTTGACTTTAGTTTAGTGCATGGTGATAGACATGGATCTAGTCTTAGTTTTCAGTATGGGGAAAGTCAATTTTCCAGCACTATCTATTTAGGCTGTCTTTTTTCCAGTGAATCCTCTGTCAAATACAAAATCAGTTTGATAAATTTAGTGAATTAACAAGACCCAGTCTCAAAACAAAATAAACAAAAAATTCAAATAGAAGATCAAAACAAAAAAAGACTAGAGGTGTAACTCAGTGGGTTACAACCCCTCTTCATTTAATTATCTTTTTTTTTTTAAGATGTAAATTTTACACAAAATTTAACTAGGAGTGTTCATAAGTTTTGGCTGCATCATTTTCATATAATTTACAACCCAAACCAGAAAATGTATTTCTAGGTTTTTTCTTAAGAATATCTTACATTGCTATGAAAAAACTACAAGAACAAATATGTAAAAAAATGACTATTAGAATTCATAAAGAACTTGACAAACTTCAACCAGTAATGCATGGACTATCAAACTCCATGTTGAACGGTTGAATAACTTACTCTTTGGTCTTCGGATACTGTCAGAGATAGTCTAGAGAAGTGTGTTGGGTAGAAGGAAGCATTGCTGTCTTTGTGATGCTACAGTGACATTTTTTAACTTTGTCAGGTAAACAAATGTCACTTATGAGAGCAAATTCATATTTTGTTTTTCCTCTCTCTTTTCACTTTTTATCTTTCTCTTCTCTTTTATTTTCCTTCTTCCTTCTTTTTTTTCTTTTTTCCCCTTTCGTTTCCTCCCTCTTCTCCTCATTCTTCATTTCTTTTTATGATTACTGAACCTACTGTACCATTCAAGCCTTATATTGTCTTTGGAAAAAGATAAAGCTGCACAAGATAACATGTGTTTTAAACTAGGTGGATTTATATTTCATTCAGTCTCATATTGTTGACTCATAATTTGTCAGCCTGCTTCTTATTAAAAATCACTTTTTGATTGTGCAAAAAATTAAATTTTATGACAGATTTATTTCAATTTCTCACCATTTAAGGAGCATGTGAAAGTCAAAATTTTGGCATCTTTGTTTTCATGACCTGGTAATCTGAATAGAAACAAATACAGCCCTAGTTTATATTTATTTATTTTTTAAATATGAAAATTATGATAAAAAATCAAAAGCATATTTTTTGCTCAACATCTGTAGAGAAACTTTTTCTCCTGATTTCTACAGAATTTGTTTTTGCTATTCTAATAAAATTTATATTTTCATATTCTTTACCAACATTTCTGTTGATAAACATTACCAACATTTCTGTACGACTACCTAATGAGCACAAAATACACTTTAGCAGGAAAGGTATCTTTTGTTCTGCTTCTATCTTTACACTTTCCCAGGTATTTTATTTTTTACAGTAAACATGTTTTAGTAATGTCTCTTAATTGTCCATTTTAATAGATTCTGTGTAATATTTTCAACCCTCTCCTCACGCATGCTTTTCATAATCTGTAGTAATCACTATTTTACCTCCACTCTTCTTCAGCTTCTGCATAAGTGTTTTGTTGCAGGCAACAAATTTTGTCATGTTTAATTACTATTAGCCCTTTTTTCTACAATAACACATTTTCCTTATCTATACACCCATTGTTGGACTCTAGGATGACTACATTACGTAGGTAATGTGTTATTGATGAACTAAACATTTGTACACAGCTATTTGTTTCCTAGCTTGACTTCATTTCGTTTAAATATATATCTGGATCTGGAAATATATATCTGAATCACATGGTAAATGTTTTTGGTACATTTTTAGAAAACAAATGATGGTTGAGCCATATCCTCATTCATCAAATGAAAGGAAATTTGAAGATGAAATTTTCATAGTTTCACATCTAGAGGATTTCTCTCATCATTCCTTCAAAGTCTAATTATAGTAACTATTGTTATACATCTGGTCAAAGAATATGTCACATTTAGTGTGCTCTACTTCACCATTTAAAACTTACCCTAGTATTAATATTTTGTATATTTTACAAACTCTCAATCCCTACATTATCCAAAAGAGTTTATCCTTTTCCCTCTAGTTAAACCAACATAAGTAGTTTTTATTGTCTTTAATGATACTATTCATTGAAATATTCCAATTTTCCTTGATGCCGTATTTAATTAACCTCTCCTTCAAAACTGAAATGCAATATCTGGTTCATTTTTCTACTTCAAGTGAACTTTGCATTAGATTTCAACCTTTTCTTACCCATGCCATCAATTTTTTCCTTTACCTCCATCCTTAGTTAAACACTGTATTAGTAGGAGAGTTTGTCTTCTTTTTTCTTAGTACTTCTCTTCCTTCTGTTTCCCACTACAATTTAATCAGATAACCATTAGTGACATAACTTGGATGAATTAGAAGTTAATACATGCTTACTCTAAACTCTTTAAATTTGGATTAACACTATTTACTTTTAATTTGTTACACTTGTTTGATCTACTTCATTAACTAGTTTTTAAATGCATATAGGAACACAAAGACTGAACATATAACGTGTATTTAGTCATTTATCACTTTTTATGGAAACCTTTTTGGATGAATAAAAATCACATTTTTTAGTAAACTATGTTGGAAAAAATATTAAATGTTATCAATAACCCAAGAAGCTTACACTGGCAAATGATTTTTAACAAATTACATTTTATTCTCTAGCTAGTATCTGGAATGCTGAGATCATCAGATTCTCAATTCTTTTGATTTATTTTCAGATTTTAAAAAGTAAATTTGTTTTATCTACATGATTAATCAGGAAAGTTAAACAAAAAATGAGGAGTTCTCTTGAGAAAAAAAGACTTTCATTTCATTTTATATAAAATAATTTGATAAACGAGACAAAATTCTACAGTTTTATTTGGAAACGAATTCAGAAATAAGTTATCTTTTTAAAAAATAATACAAACATTGCTCTTTGCTCTACTGATATACTGTATCTGATGTAACAAATTTCAAGGCTTTCTTTAAAAACCTTATATCTTAATTTTCTCTCTAGAAATTTTATAACATACTTTCTGAAGAGTCAAAAACAAGAGGTACTTTATGTACTCGTGTTGTTCTGTCAAATCCATCACTAAGAAAAATGATAAACATATAGTGAATGACCAGGCATCTTGGAATTTTCTGGAGTGCTTAGAAATATGACTCTTGCACAGACAGAATTTTAACTCATGATTTTCAACCAATAAAATATCACAAGTAATATGCCCATAGATAAGATAATGTTATCTGACAAAAACAATTTAACAGATGTATTGAAAGTTTCCATTCTATTCATTTAAAAATAAATACCCTGGTGAGTTCAGTGCAATTTCTCGATTTATCAATGTGAATGTTTAGTGCCAGAAATCAGAGCAATTCCAATGTGAAGGAAGAATTCACACCACATGGCTGCAGTGCAAGCATGATGTGGAATGTTGTTCAAATTTGGGGGCAAGGACTGGGTCATGGCTGGTAAACAGCAAGTACCTGGGATTCAGCTCTCTACCCTCTGGGAAATGAGTCTGGGCAAATGACCTGGAAACTTTGTGAAGAAACTTTTCCCAGGTCTTTCTCGTAGACCAAAACATACTGACACTTTGATGTCAGCTTCTGAGACTCTAAAGAGAAGACTCAGTTGAAACAACTTGATTTCTAATCTACAAAAGTTACTCAGAGATAAGGATAGATTGTGTAGTTTTAAACTAAGTACATGTCATTTTTCAGTATATCAAGGGAAAAATAATACAGTATGCTCTTTCTTTTCTTGCATTCTTTTTAGCTTATCTGTCTATCAGAATACTATTGGGATCTTTAAAGTACACTTAGCTGTTATATTTGATCTACCCACTCTGATGAACTGCTTTATCCTTTTAAGTAGGTGCACATTATATTTCTCACTAAATTCTAACATTAGACATATCTCTGCAATCATTGCTTTCCTTCATATATCTGTATACTTTGATCCCTGCAACTATAACTGATCCTTCATATGAGTTCCCAAGATATAAGATGTTGAGCTGCAGTGAATTTAAATGTTTATAATTCAGTTCCACCTTTTTACATTTTTAGATGTCCTCTTCAATTTATTTACTAATATTTACATATTTTTTGCAGTGCTGGGTATCAAACCCAGAAGCTTGTACATGTTAGGGAAGCACTTCACCACAGAGCTATATTCTCAGCTTCTTCATTTATTAATATTTATTAAGGTCTTTTCCTATGTAGACTATACTCAACGAGGGAAGCTATTTAAAGGCACATATATTCTTCTGTATGAGATTAGAATTCTTATAAATTCTTTGTAACATTCCTGGATTAATGAAAAAAATATCAAAATTAATGCAAAAATCATTTTGAATACTGATGATCATTAATGTGACATGATGAAAATAAGAAGACACTCTTTAATTGGGAGAAAGTGCAAATTTAGTAGATGACCATGAAGTTGAGACCAGAATGGTTCTGTAATCAGAAATGTAAAGATCTGAAAAAAGAGAATCCCTAGATCTGAAAAGAGAGAATCCCTAGACGGAATAAGTCTGCATCCATTGAAATTGAGAATAAGCTTGGAATGCTCAAAGAAAAAAAAAAAAAATGAAAAAGGTCTTCTTGGGTTACACGCAGGAAGGAAGAAGCTATTTTAGTGTGTCTCAATAGATTTAAAGGGAAAAACTATTTCTGGTTTATCTCTGTGCCAAAAAGGTGCGACATTGGTCTTGAAACATAGATTATATGCAGTGTAGAAATGGTTGAACTTTTTAATTGGACTTAAATTTGAACCAATATTAGAAAGCCAAAGTAGCATATTGTATCTTTTCAACTTCCATTGTAAAGTGTAGTTCCATAAGAGAGCATTTTTATATAAAGGCTGAGTCCATATTTCTTTTTTATATATGAAGTCCCTATTGTATTTTGGTTTGCTTTTATTTCAGTTATTAAAAAAATGATCTGTATCCTAATACATTCAAATCATTCTTAAAATCACATTTTAGAAGATATCATTTGTATCCAATCATAAAAAATATATTTGAGTGTGTTACACTTAAATTGAAATATTCTAGATTCTGAGTAGTTTCCTAAAATAAACAGTTTTTCTCACCCGGGGCTACAGTTTCCTCATATGTAAATCAAGAGGTTAAACAAAGTTCTCTTGAATATTCTTTCAGCTTTAGAAATGCATGCTTCTTTGACCACATTTAGCAAAAAAACTGTGCTTCAAAAATATACATTCATATAGATACACAAAATAACTGCATTCTTAAAAGGATCTTTTGTATGAAAGGACTATATTTTAGTTTTACAAAGAGTTTTGAGATCCACATATTTCAACTATTCATACACAATGAGAATTTCTACCTTTTAAAGTTACCTGTGCCCTCAAAAGCTATAGGTCTATGAGCGCTTGCCAAAAAAGATGATTTGTGAAACTTACATTTAGTCCATGTTTGAGTATTCAAACTCATAATGATCTATTTAAAAAATCATTGTAGTTGCATAGTCTGCAAGATCCAGTTGTATGAAATTAAAATAATAATGGTACATTTTAGGATCTTCATATATTTCCCCCTCATATTTGTGTACATCTTTCAATAATTTATTACTATATTCTGCTTAAAGGTTTCTTTTTACCATAAAGCATAAAACTTTGTGCCTTTGGTATCAGAAATCTCCAACGAAAAGGAACGTGATGTTTAAAAATTAAAAATAAGGAAATAATTTCATACCCTGATTTGATGGCTGTCACAGTTTCATCTTGGGAAAAGACCATGCAGGTTTTAAAATGGTATTTCTGGATTCTTACACTCCATCACCATCTGACCCTTCCTCTTGCTCAGAATTCTGGGAGCAGTTAAAAGGATGAAACGCCCACAGCCAAATATTCACTGCGTTACATTTGCTGTATTCCCGTCACTAGGAAACCTTTGTCTAACTTCACCCCTTCAATTTCTCGTGGGTTGGTGGAGAACAGTCTGTACGCCACATGCTGAAATGCCAAGGCTTCTTTTGGCATAGCTGTTAACTGGGGACAGATGGCATTTCACCCCTCTCGTGGACTCCTTCTCTTCTTTTCACACTCGTTTTCCCTAAAGCATTAAGCATTGCTCCAAACTGAATTATACACACACACACACACACACACACACACACACACACACACACATTCCTAGAGGGCATTTCTGAACATCTTTTTTGATTTTCCTTCTCTTTTCTATTAATACACATAAGAGTACCACTGTTTAATTTTTAAACTTTGAATCTTCCTAGAAAGCATCTACTATTTAGTTTCCCATTTCCCCTCAGAAAAATTATTGCCACTTTTTCATTATTAGTGTGAGTAAAGGACCATAAGGAAATGTTTTTTTTTTTTCAGTATTCCTCTTAAAGGGCTCACCATGCACTGTGTTTGCTACATATGGCCATTAATCATAGGCTTTCAGCTGCTACCATGTCTGTCTTTCAGTGAAAGCAGGTACTTGTGAAAAGCCCAACTAGTGTCACTACTGCTGATATGTGTCATGCAACTTTTACAATACAAATGTAACATTCTCTCTCAGTCCTGTTTTGTTGCTGAGACAAAATACCTGACCCCATAAGTTAAAGGAGGAAAGGTTTATATTTTACCTTGATTGGTAGAAATTTCACAGTCTAGTCTGACTAGTTCATAGTCAGTTGGCTCCAAGGCAGGATGAAATAGCAGAGGGGCGTGACAGTCAGGAAGCAGCAGGGTTTCCTTCTTTTTTCCATCCTGGTTGCAAGTTTATAAGTTGGTGGTACCCACAATCAGAGTGTCTTCCTTTTTCAATGAGTCCATCTCCCCCACACAGAATTACAGTAAATCAATCAGTGGGCTAATCTAGTATCACACATCCATAATCTAAAATTACACATGCAAGATCTAGTCACCTCCAGTTTAAGAATGCATTTAATTAATATTTAGACATAAAAAATAAAAATGAAAGAACAAAGAAAAAAGAAAGAAAGACAGAAAGAAAGAAAGAAAGAAAGAAAGAAAGAAAGAAAGCAAGCAAGAAAGCGATATTCACAGTCTCTTCAGGAGAGATCAACAGCATTTTCCTGCCAGGGCTATGTTGCTGGACACTTCCCCCAGAACTTACTACATGGGAGTTGAAATAATGAAAATAAAGATTTGGATTGACCCTGAAAATTTTCAAAAACTCCAGTCTAAAACACAGGAACAGCAGACTTCCTTACGAGACCTGGATTAACCTTTCTTTCCCTAGAGCTCAATGAAAGTTCATAGATATAGACAGCATTTCATACATATAATTATAACACGGTGATTTATGGAAAAGAACATGCACAAGAGATGCAGCTGAGGTGTCTCAGCACCCTGTCAATCATGCTGTCAATCATGCTCCAGAAGACTCAGTGGGGAATTCCCGTAAAACAGGTGCAAGTCAAACCCCTATGCTTCATGCTTCCTGCATTCATGCCATTTTCCTTTCTCTGTATGAACCTGCACACTCCAGATGTATTACTTCCTGAATTAACTTTATTGCTGGCCCTTCACCATTCTACCTTGTGACCAATTCTTTGTTTCCCCACACACCATGCGATCTAATCCCCAGACCCTACAACCAACTGTATCAGTTGCCTTGTATTGGTCCTTGTGGCAGGATTTATATAGTTTCTCTATTCATTCTTTGCATAGGGGTCAGTATGGAAATAATTTACCTCTGGTCAAGTCATTTTTCTGCAGCTGCACAACATTGAAAAGAAGTTTAGAGAAACCTGCTGGCAACACTTCCAACAGCTGTGCATCAAATCACTGGGAAGCTGGGAAGCCAAGTGTAGGTCTAAAACAGATTATTCTTCATATTGCTGGGATCTGTATCATACCTTTGTGATGAGCTCCTCCAGGATCCTATAAGCTTCTCATTCTGTCATAAACTTGGAAGTCAGTGAGAAGTACAGTTATAGCTGCAGCTACTTGTAAGAACACACTTGATACTTATTATCTCTCTCTTCTGTACTATTTATTCTTGGCTGCTCATCACCATAGGTTCCCACGTCTGACTGAGTACTGGCATACAAGAAGTGTAGTTTGAGCTATCGTTTTGATGTCTTTAAATATGATTTAAAATGTATGCACATGAGAAAAAATGTTATTACAAACATTATATAAAACATGAAATTGTATTTATGAGAATTGAAATTATTTATAGACATTATGGGACATACTGAGGGTGGAGAGATAATCATTAAAAAAACAAGGAAGAGAAAATGGAAAAAAGAAAATATTAATGAGGATCATCACTTGTCCCATGTCTATAAGGCTTTAATGTACCACAGGATGAGGTTTCGAGTTGTGTGACTTTTTTCCTATGACTAAAAATAGCTTGAACAATATACATAATGTAAGGGCAACCTGTCACACACTCATCAAAATGTTTGGCATATTTTACATACCTAGTTTATAAATTGGACTGCAGCACTAAACATGGAAACAGAAGTACAATGTGAGACTTAAGCCTTTTGATCTGGGCACTAAATTCTGAGGAACAGTGATTTGGTTTTCTTAATAGAAGTCTGCTCATTACATAAGACAAAGCTGAGAAGTGTCGGTGTGTACGTGTGTTTATCCTCAGTGCTCTATTACAGCGTTCCACTGACAGTAAAGGATCTCCTGCTGTGACAAGTATTGATCTCATTTTTCCTTTGAGACTGCTAACAAGCCAAACGGTAGCTTCCTAAAATATTCAGCTGGAACAGTGTTTTGAGAGAACTGCAAGTTTACTAGAAATTTGTTTTCATCTTCCTATGGAAAAAGAAAAGATGATTAGTATTCTCTGCATATTTAATGGTTATTATACAGTTAGTTTATCAACTAAACGAACAAATAATCCTGAAATTGAAATCAAGAGAAAAATTATGCGTACATATGCCTAGAATATATACTAACCTAATGTCTTGTTATTTTTCTTTTATTGCTAAAACAAAATACCCAACACTTACAAGTTAGGGAAGGAATGGTTTATCTTACAGTTTGTAGAGGCTTTAGTCCTTAGTCAGCTGACTTCAAGGCAGGTTGGTATGGCAGAGGAACAATTATTCATGGTGACAGCAAACAGCAAAAGCAATCAAAGGAATAGAGAGGAGAGAAAACTCTTTGTATCCCTTATTTTGCATGCAGGCTACTTACCCTGGGGAGGGTGTTGCACTCACACTCATCCTTAATCCTAGTATTGGACCATGAATCAATCACAAGCCCTGGATTTAGCTGCCTTTCAAAAGCCTGCCAACTCATGACCATGTGAGGCTTTGGGAGGACATCCAGACACAAACCATAGCACCAATATTGTCATAAAAAGTATAACATGAGAATATGTACGAAGTGGTGAAATTTGCATATCTTCTAATTCAGTATAAAGTGGTACTTTAATGCATACTTTTAAATTTGTTCTTACACAAAAACATAGTTGAAGTTATATACATAAGAATGTATATTGTCATTACTCAAAAAATATCTCTATGAACATTATAAAATAAAATAACTAAGCTCTTATAATATTTAGCAAGTTGTAAAGTGAAGATTCAGGTAAGATATTAGGGGAAGTTTACACAAAATTCTTATAACAATATTTAATGCATAATTATTAATCACATTTGGAATTGTTTTAAAAATGGGAATACAAATACTGAAAATTCTAAAAATTACTGTATTGCATAATAACAAAGTACATGCATGATATGCTAAAAAATAACCATCCCTGTAATGGACTTCATTCTTCAGTAACATATTTTTCTCAAACTTCATATCGATATTATACCTTTATTTCTAAATTTTGTAACATCTAAGAATTAACTCATTTTATAAAATCACAATGCTTATGCAACTAATTATACTCAATTACTATTTAAAATATGTTATTAAACAGTTAATAGATATAATTTAGAAATGCAGTAATATTAAATGGATATTTAGTCTTTTAGCAGACTTAGGAAGCAACATTCTAAGAACTGCACAAAACACAATAACTGATTCAAAATTGGTCACAAAAGTTAGATCTCTAAGGCTTAATAACAACAAAATCTTGTAAAATTATAATGTGATATTTTGATTCTACTAATAACTGTTTTTGTGAAAACCTTATGCAGTGGTATATTATAAGGTGCCTTATAGTTAGTAAATATAGTAACTACTAATTAATTTATTTTTATTGCAAATTATATATTGTATAATAAATTTCCAATTTTTTAAAAGAAGTTTTCCATTTTATGCATACATTTGGTATAAACATAGTAATATTCCACCAATTTTTCTTCAGTTTAAAGGCAAAATGTTAGCACTTATATGAGAATATTCATGGCACAGAGGGATGCATAATCTCTAAATCTTTGGACATTAAAAGTAAGCAATTCCTTTTAATATAAAGACATAATTCCAATTTTGACTCTAAAATATTTTAATAAAATTATATCCATATTAAACAAAATGAAAAATATTACACAATTTCCAATTTTTTCTTTATTTGGAGAGTTCATCAGAAAAGAATTGTCCCTTGTCAATTGCCTAAAGTGATGTTTAAGAAAAGAAATAAAGTATCCACTTACCTAACTATAATTGATTTACATTTGCACACAAAGGAGTGCAAATAAGAAATACAATCAAACCAAGTCCCAAATATCTACTAATTTAGTATGAAAGATACAAGCAATCCAAACACCACATAAGGAATAAGATTTATACAATTTATTCATAGAGAAAACTTTGGTTCTTAAGTAAAAAAAAAAGTTAGGCTTCAAAAATTTTGTACAAAGTGCATAAATCTCTTCCCAGTGAAATTTTATAGAGGGTCTAATCCACACAGACATAGCAATACTTTAGACATCTTTATTGCATATGCAAAGCTGGAAAACAATATCTACTAAGCATGTTT